TAATAAGATATGTCGCATATATCATAATTAGCATAATATCATAATTAGATACAGTATTACAAAGATATATATATCTCAGGATAAACATATTATAAAAGTTTAGCAAGGTCAATGTAATAAGTAGATTTATTATCATATCAAATATTCATCAATATATAAAATATTGTTTATTAAATATAAATATAAAAAAGAAAGTGTAAGGCTTACTATGAACATTAATGCAAATGCTATAATTTATATCTTACATAATTATATACTTCTTTCATTACCTACCTCATATTCAGCTGAGAAGAGCAGGTTGCTGTCTTTGTGCATATTGGCCACATATTCCTCAATTTCATTCAAATTGATTGGTCTGGAATAAATACATATCAAATACAGAATAGGAGATTTTTTTTTATTGATAATACATGTAATTAAATTTTAACATTTGTATAGAAGGTCCCATACAGTTGGCTGATCAACTTATCTTGATATCCCTAAATTTAATAATGGACAGTTCCAAAAAGGAAACTGGACAAATTCATTTAAAAATTAAGCTTTATGAGGGTTAAAGGCTAAATTTCCCTAGAAGTGTCTTTAAAGGTTCCAAAAAATACCAGTGTTTAATATGCAAAAGTAACTACTATCTTCTTTGATTAATTATACTGGTTTATCATTTTCGTCCTGTACAGTAAACTTTTAACAATAAAGCATCTGTGTTACTTCATCATATCAAAGAGACGTTTGTTTCCAAGGCAACACAGTTGTTAAAATAGTACAATGATTTATATGTTTTTAAGTTTCGCCTGTTGTTTAAATTTACCTTAGATTTAACAATAAGCAACACCTGCGGAATTGCAGTTTAAATGCTCTTGCACAATAATGGAGGACCTAGTTATGCCAGGTAAATCAATACTTTTCCCAATAACATAGCAAATCATTGTAAACCAAATCATCTCTGAAAATGTTTTCCCTGTCCAAAAACTCAAACTTCCAAATACAAGCTCCAACCTCTGGGACAATGTACCTTATATCAAAATGTCTGCTCTATTAAATAAGATTTGGGTGAGAAGCAAATGTTCAGAAATAAGAAGGAAACTTCAATTTACCTTTTACGAGGTATTTTTTCAGTGGCTGGGTCAAAATTAACATCTTCATCATCTGTGTCATGGGTTCGTTTCCTGAAACAACATGTTATGAAAGAAATGTTAGCTTGTTGTTTGCTATATACAAGGCATTCACGTAGATAATGATCACTTTCCTGCTATTCAAAGGAATAAATCTTCCAATATTAACAAGTAATCAAACAAGACAGACTTGGTTATAGAAGATTCATATGTACACTACAAGTTTAAATATTATGTTCCTTTAAATGACATAGTTGGGTTAAAAAAGCTGATGAAGGTATTATTTCACATTCTAACACTATCGGAAATTTTCCTATATAGACAAAGAAGGCCAGAAGCGTGCATTATTCTACAACAATGCACTCGCCGTTCTTATTATCTCCCTGTATATTTTCACATTGAAGGCGCCATTTTGTTTAAAAATCTGATAAATAAAAACATTTTTTTGTCGAATTTTGTTGTGAAAACTATCTAGAATGATAGAAAATGGTCTAACTAAGAAAATGAATCCGAACACCAATATCTTTAATGCAGTCGTTAACACTGTACAGACGTTTAAAGTGTTGTTTACGTGACGTCACAATGTAGCGCCAAACAGCATGTGCAAAACAATCAAATAAAGTACGTTATTTTAAATATGGCAGCACGAGTTAGGTTTAACATTTATTTTCACTTTTAAAAATTTGTATTTCGCTTGAAAAATTATAGAGTGAAATAAATGAACAAAACAAAGTTTTATCAACGTTTTCAAATTCGTTATTCTCAAAATGTTTCTACACACAGTAAGAATTAACCCACTGGAACAGCCTTTAAAGAACGTTTCTATTGGAAACTCTGAGGCGAAAACAAATTTAACCACCAAACATAAAGTCCAACTATATAATAATAATTATACTTTTTGTTGACGTGTTAGAATGGAAATAGATATTAATTCTTCGTGCATTATTGTATAAAAATGCACTTTTTCGTTCAAATGCGTTGTTATTAATCACTCAGGCCTATCGGCCTTCGTGATTATATTACTATGCACTTGAACTCAAACCGTGCATTATTCTACAACAATGCACTCAGAATTGATATCTATTTCCTAAACAAAATGAGTTTTTTATCATTACTGAACTACAACAAATATACTGAAAATCAACTTCTGCAATAACAAGCATTTAAACACAATGAAGCCCCTGCCTGTCATCAACACAAATGATTACTCAAGATAGCCTAAGCTTACAATAAATCAACATTATCAAAATCTATGCTCATGTCAAACAAAGATTTTAAACTGGAGTTTTTTTGAATCTAAGAGGTCAAAATTAGCACTAACCTGACTACAATATATACTAGTCTTGTAGATTTTCTCTTTGCCTTGAAAAAAAAATCCCAATTTACAGTGAAAATTGCTTAGTTTCAAGACGCAGTAGCATTTTAACTAGAATATCAATCTCCTTAATTTTTTATTTTTACTCTAATCTCTTTAAACAATAAATTGTATACATACATGCCATCAGATTTTCTACCTCTTCTCCTCCGTAATACCAAGACAATGATCACTGCTGCCAGAACAACGATAACCACAGCTGCAACAACTATACCTATTATCAAACCGAGGTTTGTGTCGTCCGGCTCTTAAAAACAAAGCAGAAATGTTTCATTACTTACATGTACCAGGGCACTAGACACCTTTTTGGGACAGGTACCCATACCCTAAGGAAGGGGAGTTTTGTGTTGTGTTAAGGTAAAATTTGAAATTTTATGTTATCATGTATTTAGTGTATTTTTTATCACATTTACTCATTACACTATTTCCTACCATTGGTTTCAATAGTTTGTAATTTTCCTACCATTGAAATCGATAGCTAGTATTAGACTAACAAATCAAACAAATTACTTTAAGTGAATTTATTTTAGAATCTTGAGGGGATTTTTTTCTGAGATAGGGGAAAAATACGTATGATTTTGACATGGAAACGGTGCCCATATTTGGCCCCAAAAACGACCAAACGAGTGCCCTGTGTACTGAAAGGAAAGCATTGACATGGCCCTTAAATACCTTTTTTTTTTATGAAATTGAATATACTGCGTAACCTCTGTACAGCCACCTATGTATAGAAATAATCTCTTGACAGCAATAGAATCATTTTTTCACAAAGCAAGACTTCATAGTATACTTAACCTCTCCAGAGCAACATAATTATATAACATTTGTCAGCTTTGACACGTTGAAATCAAAACCTGACATACTGAAACCTTTAGCAGTCAGTAGGATTTTGCTCTCTCCAAGCAACACATGCTAAATAAGTGGCAACCTTATTTTTCAAATTAAAATTAGCCTATCATTAACTGAAGGGTATGGGGTATGATATTTTTCATCCAGTTCTTAAACTTTTTAGAGCACTGTTGACTAAGATGTAAAACAAGAGCTGTCACAGGAGACAGCAAAGCTCGACTAATAAAATACTGGACGCAGTAAGGAGGACAAAACTATGAAAGAAAAATCAATTATGTATAATTATGTATTAAGTTATAGTAAAAAAATAACATTTGTTAACATTAATTCCAAGGTCAAGGGGAATAATTCTAGAAATAGTCATGCTAGAGTTATGGACCTTGTCACACAACAGTTGTGTAATGATAAGAAATATATATTTGAAGTTTGAAGTAGATACCTTAAAAAGTAAAGAAGTTATTATATTTCTTAAAGAAAATCCTAAGTTCAAAGAGAGATAAATCTGTAAATATTGCTTCAAGAGTTATGAACATTGTCACATAAAATGTAATTGATGATAAGGAATAAGTATTTGAAGTTTGAAGTAGATACCTAAAAATAAAAATGTAATAATAAAAAATAACAGTTTTCTAGTAAAAAAATCTAAGTTAATGGGGAGATAATTATTGCAATATTGGTGCTAGAGTTATGAACCTTGTCACATAAGATGTGGATGATGATAACGTAAATATATTTGAAGTATGAAGTTGATCCCTTTAGAAATAAATAAGTAACAGTAAAAATAATATTTTTTATGGAAAATTCTAAGTTCAAAGGGAGATAAATCTGAAAATATTGGTGCTAGAGTTATGAACCTTGTCACATAAGATGGGGATGATGATAACGTAAATATATTTGAAGTATGAGGTTGATCCCTTAAGAAATTAAGAAGAAACAGTAAGAAATAGTATTTTTTGAAGAAAATTCAAAGTTCAAGGGGAGATAAATCTGAAAATATTGGTGCTAGAGTTATGAACCTTGTCACATAAGATGGGGATGATGATAAGGTACATATATTTGAAGTATGAGGTTGATCCCTTAAGAAATAAAGAAGTAACAGTAAAAAATTGTATTTTTTAAGGAAAATTCTAAGTTCAAGGGGAGATAAATCTGACAATATTGGTGCTAGAGTTATGAACCTTGTCACATAAGATGTGGTTGATGATAAGGAACATATATTTGAAGTTTGAAGTTGATACCTTAAGAAATGACAAAGTTATAGTGAAAAATATTTTACTGCACCAAAACTTTAATCTAAAATCTGGACGCGGACGCGGACGCCGGGGCGAGTAGGACAGCTCTCCATATACTTCGTATAGTCGAGCTAAAAATGTTTGGTTTTCATGATCATGACAAAAATGCATTTTCAAACAATGTACCTGCAGCTGTAACGAAAGGTCCATATTTTTTACTGATTAAACATCCACCATTTGTACACGCTACTGCAATTACTCTGTGAAATAAACATTAGATAATTAATATTAGCATACCAATCAAAGTATTTCCATTAACATTATATAAAGTCAAAGAATAATGTTTCTATCATGTGCATGATTACCTTTTTAGAAATGAAATATGATTACCTCCCCTTAATTGCACTTGTTATATCAAGATTATCTCCCTTTTGTTGGATAGAGGATATAGTGTGTTTCAATACTAAATTTATTGGCGAGAATAAAATTGTTTTACTTAATGAGTCAATAAATTTAGTATTGAATCTACACAAATATAATACTCTATTATATTGACATGTAAGGCAATACAATATCAGGCAAATGTGTAACGAGGACCTTAACAGGGGCTGTATCTATTCATTATCTTACTAAACAGAGAAAAAGGGTTCCAAATGGAAGGGCCATTTTTATTGCAAGGGCTATGAAGCACTAAAGCAATATATTTCTTTTGTAAGAAATATAATTAGGGTTACAATTATTATAGACAAAATCTAAGAATGTTGCACCAACATGTAACTAGTATCTGGGTCAACCGGTCCATTACAGTACTCTGTGGAATCTGTATTACTACTACAGGAGTCACTCCCAACAATAAACTGTTGTTTTACAACTTCACGCTTTCTTCTTGCTAGAAATAAAACAAAAGTTGAAGCTATGATTATTTTTCAATCATCTTTTTACACATAACACAAGCATTGTTTAGTTTACTATTATGTCCATCACATAGACAAATTTTAGGACATGGCTTTTCTTTGAATAAAACTAGAAAAATCTATTCAGAGCCTTAGTAGAAATTTTCTTTTTAGTTTAACATACAATCTGTATAAAAGAAAGAAATACTCCTTTTTTATTCAAATGCAACTCTTTAATTGAAATGTTATAAAATAACACAACAAATTTGCTTACAATTTGGTGTTGATGTTTTGCTTTTTAAATTCTTTAACCAATCTGCTTCGGTGGCTCTGTAATAACCTTTCTTTAATCCTACACTCCATGCATCCAATGTGTTAAAGTCTGATAAACTCATTGAATCTTAAAAAAAAGTATATAATTTATTATCATATCAGTTTAATTTTGTTAAGAAAATTTTTGCTTGTTGTTAGAAAATGTTTAAAGCTTTCTATTTTTAGCAGATAAGTTGAATAAACAAAATAACTCGAGACAATAAATAGCATGCCTGTAACTATCTTGAGCATGTTTACAATTGTTACAGGTTTGAGGAGCAGAACAGAGCCCGAGAGGTATGGTCCCCCAAGGAAAAAATTCTCACGGAATATGTGTATGCATTTTGTATGTATTTTTAACACCAAGCATCATAAATCATATGTTACAAGAGCGATCAGTAATCACATGTGTCGCCTCATGATGGCCAATTTCATGTTGGGACAAATTTTGTGACAGACGGACAGACAGACGGACAGTGCACAACTAGACTTTGTACTGATCATTCCTGTAAAGTTTGGATAAAATTGCACCAGTAGTTTATGAGGAGTAGTCCGGACAAGCTTTTGCATATCTGGCAACACACAGAAAAAAAACACCTTTTTATCAAAGGGCCATAACTCGGCCAAAAATCATTCAACCGGAAAACCCGTGCAATATGCACAAGGACTTGAGCTACAGATCAATCCTGTAAAGTTTCATTGAAATTGCATTAGTGGTATAAGAGAAGTAGTCTGGACAAACTTTAAAAATAAAAATTATTAAAGGGCCATAACTCAAACAAAAATCATTGAACCGGAAAATGCTGACAATATGCACAACTAGGCTTGGTACTGATCATTCCTGTAAAGTTTGGATGAAATTGCACCAGTAGTTTATGAGGAGAAGTCCAGACAAGCTTTTGTGTATCTGGCAACACACAGAAAAAGAAACCTTTTTATCAAAGGGCCATAACTCGGCAAAAAATCATTCAACCGGAAAATCCGTGCAATATGCGCAAGGACTTGAGCTACAGATCAATCCTGTAAAGTTTCATTGAAATTGCATTAGTGGTATAAGAGAAGTAGTCCGGACAAACTTTAAAATTAAAAATTATTAAAGGGCCATAACTCTGACAAAAATCATTGAACCGGATAATCCTGAGAATATGCACAACTAGACTTGCATCTGATCATTCCTGTAAAGTTTGGATGAAATTGCACCAGTAGTTTATGAGGAGTAGTCTGGACAAGTTTTGTGACGGACGGACGGACAGACGGACAGACAGACAGACGGACAGACGACGGAGAAGTGATCCCTATATGTCGCCACTACTCCGTAGAGGCGACACAAACAGACGACGGAGAAGTGATCCCTATATGTCGCCACTACTCCGTAGAGGCGACACAAAAATGATGTGATCATGGACAGAGTTCTGGTCTGCCATTTTCATTCATGTTAAATACAACTGCCTGTTTGACTGTGGCTTAAAAGATAGCAAATAAGAAAAGTGGGTCATTGCAGTCAATATTTGCAATGTTAGAACCAAAATGTGCCTCGTCACAACAAAACCAACATAGTGGGTTTGCGACCAGCATGGATCCAGACCAGCCTGCGCATCCGCGCAGTCTGATCAGGATCCATGCTGTTCGTTGTCAGTTTCCCCACTTGTAATAGAGTTGGTAAGCGAACAGCATGGATCCTGATCAGGATCCATGCTGTTCGTTGTCAGTTTCTCCACTTGTAATAGAGTTGGTAAGCGAACAGCATGGATCCTGATCAGACTGCACGGATGCACAGGCTGGTCTGGATCGATGCTGGTCGCAAACCCATTATGTTGGTTTTGTCATGACGCGGCTCCAATAGTATTCACTGTATCATTGCACCGAAACATGACACATATTTGGTAATCTGTCATTTGTATCATTGTTACCGTGATCACTTTAAATAAATTACATTAGGTTATTAATTATTAAATTAGGTTATTAATTCATTAAATTAGGTAGTTAATCAAATTGGGTATATTTGTAATAAGTATCTTATTGTAATGACAAATCAATCAATTATTGTTGTATTAAATTTTAAATGAATCCATACCATGCTAAATATCTTAAATGAACTTTTCCATCTTTCAAAACTCTGGGGCAAGGCCAATGTTTGCCCAAGGGTCATGAATTATTATATTTTGTTGTCCACAAAAAGATGTTACCTTTTAAAGGAACAAAGCTTTTGATAAACTAACAGCATAAGTTTCTCCCATAAAATAACCAAAAGTCTTTAGCAAGATACATACACATAAGAGAGTTTAAGTGATTCTATGTGGGTGACCATAATAACTTAGTCAGGGAGGTTTTCTCAAGCAAATGAATAACAATTCTCACCTTTGGAGTCACATTTGCTGTCTTTACATACTACAAAACCTGTTGCACGGATCGCTCCATTTGTAGTTTGATTGAAAAAGTCCTCAGCAAAAGTCACTGTAAACTGCCTCTGTTGGCTACTTTCTTTTGGGCCTTCAACTACATCAACATTTTGTGTTTTTTCTATATTGATAGGGACTGAAATAGAAATGATATGTTAAGAAGAGTAAACTTACACATGCACTTTTTTACAAAAGCAGAACAAAATGTGATTTTGATGTCAGGAAGTCATCTGCTTTTTCATCCATTTTATGTAATGAGCATTATGTATTAGGATGTTTGGATAATTTTTACTTTCTGTTTATTTCTGCTATGTTTTTCTCTGCATTAAAGATAATTTATTAATTTGGCTTTATTGATTGATATTCTTCCAAGAACACTTTAAACAAAAAATAATTTAGCCATTTGCATCATGACATAATGGTAAACTAGTTAGTCATTACAAACATTTTGTTTACACTCACAAGCTAATTAAGAGCTGTCACCCAAAATAATAGATCAAGACACAAATGTTGTGTGAGGACGGATTGACAGACAGATGGATGGTGTGATTTTAATGTGCCGTCCTTTGGGGGGGGGGGGGCATAATATAGGTACTTTTTTGGTTACAAGAGCATGACATTAGTCTTATCTTAACACACTGAAAAGGTGTAGGATAGTTTCAGTTAAACAAAGCTAAATCAATAGGGCAATGAAACATTTGACCAGTTTTCATGATGTCTGAATGAAAATGTGACTTGAAGATTATATATTTTGCCTTGTACACTAATTTAAGCAACTGAAGTGCTTTATTTTACCCTTAAATGTTAGTGGCAAAAATGACTAACATAGTTATGTCACGATTATAGAGTCACACAAGAGTGCATGACCTTGCAGACTGACCAGCAATCTGCATTGTTTCCATGATAACTTAATGAACACTTATTATTAAAATCCTTCCTTCTGCTATGGACTATTCCAAATTCAAAACAGACAAAGTCTTTCACACAAATATGAATAAAAACATTCTATATTCAACATAAAAAAGTTACTAGGCAATAAGAGCTTTTTCTTTAATCCGACAATGTATAAGCCTATTTTTCACTTTATGGAAATTTACCAGAAAATGTGCCTTAAAATGTACTATGTCAAGTTCACTTTGAGTTTTCACCCTTAGTAGACTCAGATACAGTACAGATAAATGAACAACTTGTTTTTCTGATCTTGGTCTCATCAAAGTTAAAGTATTCATGAAAATATATGAAACAACATTAAAAAGCAATATAATAAAAACTGTGACCAGTCAGTAACAATTTTGAAAGTAAAACAAACCTCCTGCTTTAGTTTTTATTTCTTTATTTACTGGTTCACCATTCAAATCCTGCTCATTGACTGCTAAAACCTAAAAAAAATCAAATAAACAAATCAAGCTAAATCAAAGACATATTATTTCAACTACAGTCAAATGTTGAAAGAAGCATGCATACCAAGTTTGGAGTCAAACCAACTTATAGTGAGTGAGTTATGCTCCAAAAGAAACCTAAGGGGGACACTGCCACAGCTGTCAGAAGTATCCTCTATGTGTTGCCTTTTTCAAGGCGACACAATAAAACTAAACAGTCAATTTCAGCATTATCATTTTAAACAAGATCTGTGTGAGGACAGCACACTTTACTTTCTTAATGCAGGATAGTAACTAGAAATGTGTCCATAGGACACGGGTGCACCCACCACGCCACTGTTCTGTCAATCTTTTTACTAAGTCAAGGGAAATAACTCTAAAAATACTGCATAAATCCACAAGCGAAACCCCAGGTGCAAATCTAAATATGCTGAGCAACCTGCCCGTAAGGTTTAATGAAAATGTCAAATCCTTTTTGAGTAACTTGCGACACAAGTTGAAAATTGCAAAAATTTTCTAACTGAAGGGCAATAACTCTAAAAATACTAAATAAATCCAGACGAAAATACCTGGTGCACAACTGCACATGCTGATCAATATTCCTGTAAAGTTACATGACTCTAGGTCAAATACTTTTTGAGTTACGTGCGACACATGTTGAAAATTGCAAAATTTTACTAAGTCAAGGGCAATAACTCTAAAAATACTAAAAATATCCAGACGAAAATACCCAGGTGCACAACTACACATGCTGATCAACATTCCTGTAAAGTTTCATGACTCTAGGTCAAATACTTTTTGAGTTACCTGCGACACAAGTTGAAAATTGCAAAATTTTACTAAGTCAAGGGCAATAACTCTGAAAATACTAAAAATATCCAGACGAAAATACCCAGGTGCACAACTACACATGCTGATCAACATTCCTGTAAAGTTTCATGACTCTAGGTCAAATACTTTTTGAGTTACATGCGACACAAGTTAAAAATTGCAAAATTTTACTAAGTCAAGGGCAATAACTCTGAAAAAACTAAAAATATCCAGACGAAAATACCCAGGTGCACAACAACACATGCTGATCAACATTCCTGTAAAGTTTCATGACTCTAGGTCAAATACTTTTTGAGTTACGTGCGACACAAAAGTGAACGGACGGAAGGACGGACGTGCCACTTAAATGGACTAAAGGGCCATTTCTTTTGTTATTTTCTTTTGTTTAATAGAGGGCCATGGCCCCTTATTCTATTGTTACGAAATGCACTCTATTGTTCTCTTTTGTTCTGTTTACTGTTAGATGGCCCCCTAACCATATTTGGTTGCTCAGACGGACGGACGGACAAGGGTAAATCTAAATGCCCGCCACTAACGTGGGGGCACAAAAATAGTCCATAAAAAGGCATAGTTAAAGAAGGGAAAACAAGATTGCATTTGTGAAAAATGCTATGCCACTGCATTAATACAACACTAAATAGTAGTATAGGAACAGATATTTTTTTGTTTCTATACAATTGAAGATTGTCATAATGCATAGATCCCTGACCTATCTAATTCTTATTATCAGATTAGTGGTTAAATATATTGTTATTCAAATAAAAGATCAGAGTTGGAATATATCAATGCAGTTGAGTCTAGTGAATTTGGTGGTGAAGGTCATATTTCACGCAGCCTCCATCAAAGGAAAACACAGTAAGACACATTGTCCAAATCTAGGTCAGCTGATATCAAAGTTCAATTTACATCTTAATCCGTGTTCAAATTTCATAGCTTGTCAAAGGACATGAAAGTAGGTCACAACATCAAAATCTAGGTCACCTGATATCAAAGTTCATTTTTACAACTAAAACTGTGCACATGGTCAAAATTTCATTGCTGTACATCAAAGGACAAGAAAGAAGGTCCCTGTCCCCTTCGGCAAGGCAGAAATTTGACCCGAGGGTTTAATTAAAAACAATCTTGATACAGGTCAATCCTATAACATTTTAAGTCAAATATCTAAGCTGTAGCTTTCTCCAATTCAGAAAACATTTGTTTCAGTTTCTGTTTTTACTATGTGTACATAATGAGAATCAATGCCCCCGGGCAGGGCCAATTTTGACACCAGGGGAAAAATTTGAACAACTTTGGTAGAAGACCTATAGATTATATCAAATAGCAAACATCAAAGCTCTATGCCTTGTACCTTCAGACAAAAAGATTTTATTATTTTTTTACAATATGAAGATAACGAAAATCAAGACCCCCCGACTCCAATTTTAACCCCAGGGCTATAATTTGAACAATCTTGGTAGAGGTTCACTTCGCAAAGTATCATGCCAAATATTTAACCTCTAGCCTTTGTCATTTCAATTTGGCAATTTTAACACTAGGGGCATAATTAAAACAACTTTAGTAGAGGATCCATAGATGATATTATAAACCAAATATCAAAGCTCTAAGCCTTTTACCTTCAGACAAGAAGTTTTTTAATTTTTTTACTATATGTACATAGTGAAAATCAATGACCCCCAGGGGTGGGGCCAATTTTGACCCCAGGGCTATAATTTGAACAATCTTGGTAGAGGTTCACTACATAATGTTTCATGCAAAATATCTAACCTTGAGCATTTGTCAATTGCTAGAAGAAATTTTTTAAAGTTTTTACTATATACATATAAGGAAAACCTTATATGACATATGACCCCGGGCGGGGCTTTTTTTGACACTTTAGGCAAAATTTGAACAACTTTAGCAGAGTACCTATAGATAATAACACATCCTCTAAGCCTTGTACCTGCAGACAAGAAGGTATTTATAGGTTTTTACTGTATGTACATATAGTGAAAATCAATGATCCCCGGGGCGGGCCGATTTTGACCCCAGGGCTATAATTTGAACAATCTTGGTAGAGGTCTACCAGACAATGCCTTATGCAAAATATCTAAGCTCTAGGCCTTTTGGGTCTTTACAAGAAGATTTTTATGCCCCCGAAGGGTGGCTATTAAAATCTACCCGTCTGTCTGTCTGTCAGTCCGTACAAACCAGAGCTACATTATGGGGTTTAGTCTATGTTCTCATAACAATAGATGTCTTTGATGTCATTCATTCCATTTCTATTGTGGGGTTATTTTCTGCATTGTTGGGTTAATAAGAACGAAAGGAATAACAAAAGAAAACCCCATAATGTAGCTCTGGTAAGAACGTCGGTCCGTCCCGCTATATACATATAAACAGTGGTGGTCGTGTCCGCTCTGAAACTTCAGTATGCATGAAAGGATTTTAATTTTTCTTTCATATATGAAACAAGAGCTGTCGGTAGGACAGCAACGCTTGACTATTCTTAGTGCTTGATTAAAAGGTAAAATTTTCTAAGTAAAAAAAAAGGCAAAATTTTTCTTTAAATCAATATTACAGTAATAGGCCTTGGAGAGAGTCCTATTATGCTCTCAAAGAGGAGTAAAAAATTTCAACATGTTTCAAAGCCTTATGTCAATGAATTTTGAAAATATTTGAGGTATTACAAAAACTTTAACGTAAATTCTAAGTCAAAAAAGGGGCATAATTCTGTCAAAATGCTTGATAGAGTAATCTCCTCCTGTCTACATGTAGGGGTCATGATGGTGAATAAGTGTGCAAAGTTTCAAAGCCATATGTAAATGGACTTTGAAAATATTAATAATTATTTTCATTCAAAATAATTCAATTTATTTTCGAGAAAGAAATAGTCCGTGTATTACATTAATATTGGTACCCGTTTTTATTAAGTATGTCATTACACATACGTACATAAACTGAGCTACAGTCGCTTACAGTTACATTGCTATAAATACGTGAAAATCGCGCAATTCTCCCACTTGCTTTCGACAACGCATTCAGACTTATAGTACCTTTACGAGAATTCTACCCACCCACCACACCCCATTGTTTCTAAGTTCCTAATAGCAAGGACTTTTATAAGATATTTTGAATGTTTATTCACATCATTCTTGTAGTACAGTTAACCTTTTAAAGAGCACATTGACTGTTTCTTCGTAGTTTTTATGTTGTAGATATGTTGTGGACACTGTTGGTACGGATGCTGCACATAGATGGGAGTATGCTCCATCATGTTTCAACTACACTACATCATATACAGCATACATTTACCAGATGTGACCAAGGATTTGGTGATTTATCATGGACTTGTAAATAGCTTTGCGTTTGTGTTCAGCGCTTGATGGACTTGATGTAGTGACTTTTCTTCATTTTTGAAAAACAGTTGAATTTGTATTTACGTGCCTCAGTGTCTATTTCCTTTACATTCGCTAAGTTTTTGTTGACATTAAACTTACATTACTGTGTGATTCACGATTGTATGCGTGCTACAAATTACACAATAGGAATTTTATTACGTGCAAATAATTTCTTTAATATTACATTTTAGTCCCTCTTTTGTAATTGTGATAAGGGAGTCAGACGTGTCGGTTACCAGCAGTAATTTGAGAAATTTTGGCATAAGGTATTTAGTAGAAACAGGCAGCGTTATATTGTTTTTATGCAGTGGTTCATTAAGTGGCAGCTGTTTTTCCCTGGGTACCCGGTGACAAGCCGCTGCTACGGAATGACACTGGTGCCGGTGTATCTATATTTATATATATATGTAATTATACATAATCACATGAGCGCATTTTCAGGTCGGGTTGATTCCCCTGATTGCGAGGTTGAATCGGTATTGCATATTGCTATGTTGCTAAAACGACCCATGTACTTTACAATGTTGCACCATCCTTATGCAGTGTCTATGGTGGTAGATGTCTATCGTTTCTGTTGAGACTATCATTTTTGGGTACTGGCACCGTCATTGTAGTACATCTAGTTCATGTTATGGACTGGGTCAAGTGTGTTTTGCCCACAGTACTTGGTGAAACCACAGTTGCTTTGCGTTTTTGCTTTGCTAGCCCGAGTTCATTATGGTGTTACGCTTTCCCATTACACTTGCTACCATGGTGGTCATGAATATTAATGGATACCCATTCGTGTTTGTG